ATTCGCTGCCAAACAGTTCCATCAATAGCAGTGACAGTGTCTTCAAAATTCTGTTCACTATCACTTTCAGAATCCGATAAAAATCTTCGGCGCCTCTGTCCTCTATGGAGATTCATAAAATATCCAGTTTCATCGGCAGTCACATCATCATCCTGTGTTTCCTCATTGTCTGCAGAATCACTTCGACTTTCAGTTTGATCATCTTCTGGTATTGAAACTTCTTCACCCGAATTCACTTCACTTATTTGTCGAATTCTTTCCAACTCTCTCACTGACCGTGCGGACATATTGGGGGTTGCAGTGAAACGTAAGTTCAATTGAATGTAACAGAAATTGTCAAGATATAACTAAAACTGATGTTTACTCTGCGACTCTCAATATACGACTGCACTTCTATTTCGTTTGGCTACAGAAAACTCATTGGAGGGAGTTTTGTGAATCCCTGATAAGAGTATGTTCTGTTTACTGTTTACTTACTTACGACACGCATGTCAGGATCCGATAAATGAAAGTCATTTGAGAAGGGTATCTGAATTTAAAACTAAGGTTTCAGTTAGAAAATTGCTGAAAAATACTAAACTTCGTATGGGGTCAAATGACCCCTCATGGTACGTAAGGTAGGTAAAAAATTTTTCGTTAGAAAAAATTAGCTACGAAAAAAACGTAAAGCGAGAAATTGAACAATCCGATGACATAAGAATTTACAAAAAGTCAAATGAACGAAAAGAATAACAATGAATGTACAATTTAAAAGCAAATTTTGGAAGGGGTCATTTGACCCCGCTTGGTACGTTTAGTGTTAATTAGGCAGAATTTACTGTATTGCGATTTGAATGTGCTCTTCGTTCGGAAAATTCGCGCGACAAGAGTGCGCGCCGCGAAATCGGCGCCGGAGACATACGATCGCTCGATATTTTCGAGTATTCTCGGAAGATAAATTTTTCTAATTTTTTTCAAGGCGATATTCGCATTCCTCGTGCCTGTTTACGCGCGCATCGTGCATCGAGAATCGTCCGAAAGCGATATTAAACATTTTCACTCTTGACGATGGGACTTGGAAGAATTTCGACCGAAAACGCGGTCTTCCCGTACCGATAAATTATCGAGCTTTTTTTTCTTCACGGGAGAACGAAGACTAATTCTTCCCTTTCGAGAAAACCGTTGACCCGAAAGTCTAGTCTATTAGCCGGAGAGATTCCGAGGAACCTTTTCTGTTTGCGATTGCGAGATCGCGAGCTATTATGCCGCGCAACCGAGTAAACACCGTCGAATTGTAGACTCGGAGCAGAATGATTTTCCGCTAATTAGGACCGCTATCGCGCGATTCCACTCGGATGCAACGGGAACAACTCGGCAGACGTAAGAAACCGCTTGTCTGAAGAGCTCACCGCGTCTGTTGCGAGGATATGCACATCGCTCTCGTGTACATATATACGTATACATATACATATATGGACCGTTTATTTTGAAAATGGTGCAAGTCAATTTTCGTGTAACCATTTTATTTATAATTGAAAGGAATGGACTTGCACCACTTTCAAAATAAATGTTTATTTGATTTAACATATGTAATATGTTATAATATATGTATATACACTATATGTAATTATGTGTAAATAATAAATAATAATAATAAAAATAATAAAATACAAATAATGAAATAAAAATAAAAAATAATAATAATAAAAATAATAAAATAAAAATAAAAAATAAAAAAAATAATAAAATAAAAATAAAAAAAGATAATAATAAAAATATAACATAAAACTGGTTGAGTCACGTGGTTGAACGTTAATAAACTTCCACATATAAGCAATTTTTTAAATACGAAAAAGACAGAACAGTTCACCAAGCAAACAATAATTTTTCAAGCGAGAATTCTGCTAAACAACGATTCCAATGAACTGAAAATACGGCTCCGACGTTAACCTTTCCACGATTTTCAACTGCAGCCACACGAACGTGCCATGAAAACGCAAGATATCCACGATCTAGTTATCAGTAGACCGTGTGGATTTTACGCAAATACGATAAAATTGATTAAACGAGATACCAAGGCAATAGATACATTTCCGACAACCCTTATCTTCTCCCGAATTTATCGAAATCATCGAGAGAGAAAATATACGTTCGTTTAGCCCCCGTTTCGCGGGATCATCGCGAAACAATTCTCGCTTCGCTGTCTTATTCTCGGTTGCCGGATAAAGTCTGTGGCAGATCGGTGGCGCGACGTACGTCCGCGGCGGCCGTACGGTTTTATTCGAGGCACTCGAGACCGAATTCCTCGTTCCCGAGGAAAGCTCCCGCGGAAAGGAAAACAGTGTACGATTCGGCCGGGCGAGGGGCTTTCGAAACGCTTTGGGCACTTTCGTGCATTGCGAAAGATCCGAACGGAGGCCGGAGGAGAATGATTTGGGTCGTGACCCAGATTTGCCATTCTGTTTCGCTCTCTTTCTCTCCCTCTTTTCGCGCCGTCTTGCTCCGCGCGCGACGCTCGCTCGCTCGTTCGCGTTGCCACATCGCCCGAACGCCGTAATTGGCCCCGGTTGATCGGACGTCCTCGCGGCGGGGACTGCGGCCGACGATCTAGCGTCGCGAAGTCGAACGCGAACTGTCGAAACGCTCCGACGGCCGCGCGTCTCTCGTACGCGGCACACGGTGCAATTAATTTCATCGGTAAACGGGGCCGAAGGATCCTATTTGCGGGTCGCCGTCGGTTTCGATCGAACCGAGCGGCCCTTGTGCAGCTTACGGTGCCTCAAAGGTGCCTACGATCTCGCGGCAACACCGAAATTATCGTTCCTTACTGTCGAGATACAATCGATCTGAGCGATCTCGACTTTGCGCGATCGTTTCGCGACACTGGTTTCCTTTTTAATTCATTTTCGAAATTGATCCGCAGTTTTCGATCGATATTTATATTAATAGTAATGTGGTAATATGTTAATACGTTAATTAAGATTAATGTATGGTTAATATATTAATATATTAATACGCTAATTAAAATTAATGTATGGTTAATATATTAATATATTAGTACGTTAATTATGATTAATATATGGTTAATATATTAATACATTAATATGTCAATTATATCAATTGTATCAATTGTATCAATTCTATCAATTAGATAAATTACATAAATTACATCAATTACGTAAATTACATAAATTACATCAGTTACATCAATTACATCAATTGCATCAATTGCATCAATTCCATAAATTGCGTGAATTATATCAATTACATCAATTGCATCAATTCCATCAATTCCATCAATTGCATGAATTATATCAATTATATCAATTACGTCAATTACNTCAATTACGTCAATTAAAATAAATTGCATCAATTACATCAATTACGTCAATTACATCAATTTCACCAATTACATCAATTATATCAATTATATCAATTACATAAATTACATCAATTGCATCAATTGCATCAATTCCATAAATTGCATCAATTATATCAATTATAACAATTATATCAATTACATCAATTCCATCAATTGCATCAATTGCACCAATTGCATCAATTGCATCAATTCCATCAATTCCATAAATTGCGTGAATTATATCAATTATATCAATTACGTCAATTACATCAATTTCACCAATTACATCAATTATATCAATTATATCAATTACATAAATTACATAAATTACGTAAATTACATCAATTGCATCAATTGCATCAATTGCATCAATTGCATCAATTCCATAAATTGCATCAATTATATCAATTATAACAATTATATCAATTACATCAATTCCATCAATTGCATCAATTGCACCAATTGCATCAATTGCATCAATTCCATCAATTCCATAAATTGCGTGAATTATATCAATTATATCAATTACGTCAATTACATCAATTTCACCAATTACATCAATTATATCAATTATATCAATTACATAAATTACATAAATTACATAAATTACATCAATTGCATCAATTGTATCAATTGCATCAATTCCATAAATTGCATCAATTCCATCAATTGCATCAATTGCATTAATTACGTCAATTACATCAATTACGTCAATTACATCAATTACATCAATTACATCAATTACATCAATTACATCAATTATATCAATTATATCAATTATATCAATTATATACAAATATCCTCGAA